ATAAGAAAAACGTGAAGCAATATCCTGCAGCAGATGAACATTACAGGAGATTGTTCAAAATCATTTGTGACTTTTAGGATGTGGCCAGCTTCACACCCGCCACAATTGGGGAAAGTGTTGAGTGGGCGGCAATAGTAAATGTCGCTGAAGAAAACAGAGAGAGCTATTGCAAGGCTCCCAAGGGCAAGATTTTGTTCAGTGCTCCCATTTTACCTTCTTTCCTAAGTCAGAAAAAAAAACACTAAGGCTGTAATCCGTCACCTCCCTCAAAACACCCCGGCCGAAGATATTTCTGATGGATTAGTGACCTTGGGATTTGACGTGGTTAGCGTCAAGCAGATGACAACTATCCTACGGTCACCTTCAAAAGGAAGGATAACCAGAAACTTCCCCTCTTCCTTATATCTTTAACCAGGACGGCAAAATCCCAAGAAATATTCAAACTACAAAACCTTTGCCATATTTCCATCCGAATCGAGGCTTATAAGCACAGAGTGGCCTTACGCAGTGTAACAACTGCCAACAATTTTCCCACGTCTGGTCTAATTGTAAGCAACCTCCCCGTTGAATGTGGTGCGGTGGTGCCCACCTGTACAGAGAGTGCCCTGAGAAACAGAACGCTGCCTCCACTCCAGCGTGCTGTAACTGTGAATTGAAGGATGGAGAGAAACCGCATCCCGCTCACTACCGTGGCTGCAGTCACGCGAAGGAGGAACTGCAGAAGAAGAAACAGCAGAGAACACCCAAAACCACAACGGAAAGGATGCTCCCATCAAATATCGTTACCCCTAAAGTCTCCTTCGCGGCGGCTCTCCGAGGCCACACATCACAGGAGCAGCCGTCTCAGACTCGCAAAACACCAGTGGCAGTTCCACCAGCAGCCACGAAACCGAGCGTCCCGATACCTGTACTGGAACAACACACAGGTCAGTCAGTTCAGGCTTCTAATATAAACGGTCAATTTCTCGACAATATGTTGAGAGTAGTGACTGTAGTACAGCAGATTATGACAGAGGTCAGTGGTGCAGTGTCTGAGGAGGACAAAATAATTGCCATTACAAAAATTGTTCAAAACCTTATGAAACAGAATGGCCACTAGAGTTCATAGGCTCCTCAAAATCATAGCATTTAATGCTAACGGCATTGGCAGTCAGCTCTATGAGCCCAGTAAACAGCTGCAAGACGTACACGTAGATGTGGCCCTGTTTTCAGAGACACATCTGAAACCTCATGAGAGGTACTTCATTCCAAATTACCACTTTTATAGAATCACCGCCACTCGGGCAGAAAGACGGAACTGCCGTTGCAGTAATAAAAGGCATTCCCCACAACCATGTAGACCTACCACCCCTTGTTTCAGTAGAAGCGACAGTGGTCGGCTACCAATTGGTAATAGCGAAGTGTTGCTTGCAGCTGTTTACAAATCTCCAGGGAAACCCTGGAGTGATGCTGACATCACTGAGCTCTTACGCTTCAGACGTAAGTCTATTTTGGCAGGTGATTTGAATGCTAAGAACCCATTTTGGAACAGCAGAGTTTCAAACCCATCAGGCTTGAAACTCGTTGATTTATTTGATAGGAATGAGTTCGAAATTTCAGCACCACAGTGCCCCACTCATTATTCCCCTGCGGGAAATGGTGACGTGCTAGACATTGTGGTTCACAAAATATCAGAGTATCAGATGTCATCATTTCTGATATTTTGGACTCAGATCACCTACCAATAGTATTTCACATACCGGATCACGTTAAAATTAGGAATCTATCGGAACCTATTGAAAAATTTACAGATTGGGAACGGTTTCAAAGCCACGCTTCTGAATTAATATCACCTAAATAAGAAATTAGAAATTCAGGGGTAGAAGCCGATAAAGCGGCACGCGACTTTGTAGCCTCTATTGCTTCGGCATATTGGTTGTCGACAAGTAAAATTACACTTTCGGACATAAACAACGATCTTCCTGGTCTAGATCGTTCGATAAAATATAAACAGAGGCTACGAAAACTGTGGCAAGAAACCAGGGATCCAACGTGTAAGACGGCACTAAATTGGGTCACAAAATCAATCAGGCGAATTACCGTAAAAAGGCACTTGAACTGTGGGAACTAAAATTAGGTAACGCTGAAGTCACACCTCAGAGTATATTTCCCATTGCGAAATATCTTCTTAAGAGAGACGGACCAAGGGCACCAACTGCTATTGGTGGTTCTTCAGGCCTTAAATTTTATCCTTCTGAAAAAGCCAACGAAACTGCCGACTTCTTGGAAATTCAGTTCACGCCACATAACCTGTGCGATGAAAATCATGAACAACCGGTGGAGGCTGAGTACAAGCTCTGCTGGAAACCGTAGACAACCCCCTCAAAGGATCGACCATGTTACTTTCAGAAATTAATAAAATCGCTGAAATTACAAAAGTCCTGTGGAATTGACGGCATCCCAAATGGATGCCTCAGGCACCTTCCAAAGCCACCAGTAGTTCACCTTTCCCATTTATTCAATCATTGTTTTCGGCTCTCTTATTTTCCAAATACTTGGAAGAAGCAAAAATAATAAATTTACCTAAACCGGCTAAAGACCCGAAATTTCCTCAAAATTTACGTCCGATGAGCCTCCTGTCCAGGACAGAAAAACTATTCAAAAAAGCAATTTTGAAATTCCTCCGTAAACATAACGAAGAAAGACGCCAGCTCAATGCAAGCCAATTTGGTTTTCGTGCACGTCACATCACGTCATTGCAATGTATGAGGCTGGCGGACAAAGTGACCCTTAATTTCAACAATAAAATATTTACGGCCGCAGTGTTCTTGGACATCGAAAAAGCCTTTGATACCACGTGGCACACAGGATTTCTGTATAAGTTGTCAAAATTGGAATTCTCGAACAGTTTGGCCAAATTTATTGGGTCCTTTCTTTCTAAGCGTATATTCAGGGTCTCGGTTGAATGCGAAATGTCAACGCCAAGAAAATTCAAGCAGGGGTGCCACAAGGTTCTGTCCTTTCCCCTACCCTTTTAAATTTGTATACAAATGATGCCCCCCATACTCATGGTGTTCATCTTGCCCGCTTTGCGGACGACACCTCTCTATATGCGACAGATCGCAAGGAGGGTTTTAATGTCAGAAAACTCCAGCGGGGTCTCAGCTAAATGAAGACCTGGTGTGAGCGCTGGAATATAAAAATTAATGAAGATAAGACACGGGGGTCTACTTCTCTCGTGGGTGTCGACCGCCTGAGTCTTGTCTTACTCTAAATGGAAGAAACATTCCATTTGTAAATAGTGCAAAATATCTAGGTGTAATCTTCGATAAGAAAGTGACTTGGAGATTACACATAGAAATGATCGAAGCCAAGGCCTTCAGAACATTCATTAGAGTATATTTCCTATTCAAAAGTGAGCGATTGAGCTCTAACATTAAATTGACCCTCCACGAAGCTCTAATTAGATCTGTAATGACTTATGATAGTCCGCCTGGGAGTTTGCGGCAGACACCCATCTAGTGAAATTGCAACGCTTGCAAAACAATGTTCTCCGCACCATTTGCAATTTTCGAAGGAGCACACCCGTCCGCGGTTTGCACATGGCATTCAAAATCCCTTATGTATATGATTACATAACAGAATTATGCAGCCAAAATCAGAAGTCATACAAAATCATGAAAATGAGAATGTTCGCATTATTAGTCAAGGTGCAGCCCGACATAGGAAGTATAATAGGCTTAAACTTGGCGGCGGTCAGGCATACGACCGTTCAAGTGTCTAGACTGCCGTGGTAGCAAATAATTCTAGAAATAGGGCATAATCTGCTGTACAATGCCTGGATTGACAGAGGCTTTGTATATATTGTACATAGAAATAGTAATTAGGACTAAAGTTAAATTGTAAATATATATCAATACTGACAATGGACTGACTAAGCCTGACAAATGACAGACCCCACCTCTCGTCAGAGAGGGCGCCCCAAATGGACAGGACAGCAACACTAACAAAGAAGGAAACATCGGGTCATGAGTCCCAGCTGGGTCTCGACACCAAGGCAGACAGACTGACTGACCGTAAGTTGCAACATGATTTTGACTTTGACTTTGACTTGAACGTGCGGCAATATGATATTGACTAGGAGTGAGTGCTGTCTGTTAGACCGGCGAAACCGCGTGTTTGTATGTGGGATGTTCCCACATCTCATATAGAACTTTCACTTGTTTGCCAATCCACGTACTTTCGGCTGTAGAGTTTCTTCTGCACTCAGTAAATTCACTAACTTGCCCTCCTTATCAACTCCAACACTTTCCACGGCTCAAGTCTTGCTCTTATTAACTCCAAGAATCTCCTGCCCACTAACTCCTTAACTGCTTCTGCTAATAACTCCTCGGCATGGCCCTCTGTCGTTTGTTATTGTTTACGGCCGATGTTTAGTAACCGCTGCTTTATAGTTACTTATTTCCCAGTAGTTGCCTAGCAAAGGCAGAACATGTCGTTGCTATTATTTTTAAAATATTAAAAGCAATGATGTACTAGATCTGCGGATCAGTCATCAGTGTTGTTATTCAGCCGTATTCCAAGTCGTTTGCCAGTTGGATTGTTTTGCTCATTTTGGGAGTTATGATATGGCAGGAGGCGGATTGCAGAACACACCATCACTACAAATGAGACAACCAACCAACCAAATGGCATAGGATATGCTATACAGCTGAAAAACAACAGCGATAACTGGTCACCGTCTTTAATATACCATTAGTTTTTATGTTAATAATGGTTATGTTTATTTATTTTAGGACTACGTTAAAGTTGTTTTGAATAACTAATACATGGATTTTATCCTTATTATACTTATGTAAAGCTTTATCGTAATGTCAGTAAAACCCCCTGCAAACCGTATAATAACGACCGAAACACTTCGAATTAGAAGCATCAGAGACATCTGTTGCTGTACAACCTTACACAGAAACTATATTTATATGTGCTATGATTTTCTAGTAGTCATAAGTGTTATGTTGGTGTGCCTGGTAGTGATTGTCTTTGGTGGCGTTCAAGAATTCAAGAAGGTTCAAGAATTTCAAGAATATATGTGAGCATTTATGAACGTTTGCGAAGTTGTTGGATGAAGCATTGTAAGCATGGCACCGGATAATAGGCGTCTGCAAGGGCCAGAAAGTACATTTTCATATACGTTATACATACCTAACAATAGAACTGATCACAATGTAGTTGAACAAATAAGTAGCGACGAAAGAAGAAAAGATGGCCGGAAGTTAAACGAGCAACGACGCATTTGTAAGAACTTTGAATGTAGCGTGTGATTTGTTTTTATTGAATTTGTTCAAACGATTTTGTATAACTAATTATTTTGTTACAGATGTGAAAACTGGAGTCGTGAGTCAGGCCAAAGGGTCAGCTTATATTGAACAAAGTAATACCAAAGTTGTGTGCTCAGTATTTGATCCACGTGAAATTCCTCGTAAATCGGGCTACAGTGTGAATGGGGAGTTGTATTGTGAATTCAAGTTTGCACCATTTTCATGCATACAGTGGAGAAGTCATCAACCGGACGCATTTGAAAAAGAGTGCAGTTTAATTTTACGTAGATCATTAGAACCAGCAGTGTGTCGTGTAAGCTGTATTTTATTGAAAGTATGAAATTTCATTGCAGTTGCTTGTAATTGTCACGGGAGAGTTGTGTTGTGAACAGGTGTATATCTCTGGCGAACTAATTACCAACCAATTTAACTTGTCTCATTTTAGTCCGTCACACTATTAATTACAGAGTACATAATGAAAAGTTCAGTCCAGTGTGACATACGAGTTTACAACACTTCAGTCCTCATTCGCCTTACATGTTTCGATTCAAAAGAATCGTCTTTGGAGGCGCACCACTACGATAAGGAAACACTGTCACATAGATATGACTAATGCTCTCAATATAAATTTTGTTGTCATGGTTGGTTCCGATGTTTATCTTAGGCACTCATAATGGCACTTCTTGAAGTGTAGATTTACTTATGATGAGTTTCTTTTAGTGTATTTCCTGGTTATTCTGACGGGTTTTTCACTGCATGCAATATGGTGTTCACTTTTCCATACAGTAGCTTCCCAGTGTATTTAAAATTATATTAAAATTTCCATGTAAACAATTAATTATTATATTAAAATATCTTGAGCCGACATTGGGTCATGTTGTTTTCCTCCTGATGGTGGGAGATGTCGTTTATTTCTCTTGGTTTTATGTTATTATTAGTAGTGTAGTTCACATGTGTGCTGTGCTGTTTGTACAAATGAGGACTGAAGTGTTGTAAACTCATATGTCACACTGGACTGAACTGTTCATTATCTACTTTGCAATTACCAACTCACCATCTAGTGCCGATAAGTTTGCCTGACGTTATGCCCCCACTCTCCATTATGTCTTCGTGGTGTGCTGCTTATTTAAATACGGACAGCTTTGCCTTTTATCCCCCAAATTGTACATAATTCATTAGGTAGATTATATGCATACCATGAATCCTGGTTGAAATTGTTTGTAATTTTGCATGGTAAGTTTTACAATTCCATGTATAGTTAGCAAGCTGCTGTCTACTATTTAACATTTACAGATACATCAGCAGGTTTAGAAAATGTGTAACAGAAGGAATCTCTTTTTTTAATCTAACTGAAAATGGTTATCTGTTGATGGATAGATTTAATATTTGTCAGGATCATTTTACAATTTAATATCTGTATAAATATGGCTTTCCAGGAAATTATAAGGATATATGGTCTTTTAATATCATGTCTGTACGTAGTACTGATTTCAAGAACCTTTGTTGTTTATTGAAAATATGGTTATCTATTATGTACGATGGGGTACCCAAAAGAAACTGAACTAATTTTTTTGTCGGCAGATCTTTTGTAGTACTGCATTTTGCAGCTATGAGCGCATAGAGCTAACATTCCTGAGTCGATAAGCCGACTACCGTTGCTTCAGAAGGTAAGGACTAGTTTCGGCAGAGTTAATAGTGACAACTGTTTTGTGTGATTGTCGTTTTTGCAATGGCTGATTTTCGTGAACAGCGTGCAGCGGTGAAATTCTGCTTTTTGCTCGGGAAAAGTGGAACAGAAACTCTTGAAATGTTAGAAACGGTGTACAAGGACGATGCTATGGGGAAAACTCAAGTGTTTGAGTGGTTTTCCCGTTTCAAAAATGGTGAAATGTCAATTGATGACAAAGCTCGTTCTGGTCATCCTTCCACTGCCCGAACACATCAAAATGTTGAAAAAATTCGTGAAATCATCAAGGAAGATCGATGACGGACTATTGAAGAAATTGTGGAGCTGTCGGGAGTGACTTGGAGCTCAGCGGCCAGATTTGTGGCAGTTGGGTGACTGGTTTTTCCATCATGACAATGCCCCTGCTCACACAGCCCTGTCTGTATGACAGTTCTTGACCAAAAATGGTATGACCTCTGTTCCTCACTCGACCTTGCCCCGTGCGACTTTTTTTTTGTTTCGGCAAATGAAAAGAGACATGAAAGGAAAAAACGACGGAGGCGCTGTCAAGCATCTCAAAAGATGAATTTAGACAATGTTTTGAAAAATGGAATAAAAGACTAGACAAGTGTATTAGTGTAAGTGGAGAGTACTTTGAAGGGGATTGAAGGTTTGTGCTTAAAATTTGAATAAATAAGTTTAAAAAGAAATAAGTTCGGTTTCTTTTGGGTACCCCCTCATAATGCCATTAAAGTATTCACCATGTAATTTGTTCATATAACACTCATAATTGTTGCGGAAATTAGTAAATATAGAATGAGGCCCTTTGAATAATTCATTGACTTGTAATATACACCTACAAGTGGAAGATGAAACAGTCTTCAAGTCCAAGTAGAATATGTAACATTTAATATTACCATCATAGAAACTAAATAAATTCCTACTGGACGAAAACTTAATGTAGTCACAAAACCAGTGCTAATACAGTGAGCCAAAAAGATTCCTTTGTTCTACTAGAAATAACAGAGACTGAACTGACTAAAGTAGTCCACAGTGTGAAGAGTATAAAATCAGCAGGACTTTATGATATCTCACCTTATTTATTAAAGAAATGTGTGCCTTATATGTTAAAGCCCCTTTTAGAATTGCTCAGTGCTTCAATTATAGAAGCCAACTTCCCATCCTCATTTAAAAATTCAGTAGTTAAACCAATTTATAAAAAAGAGATGAAAGAATATTTGAACAATTGCCCAGTTACTCTTGTCCCAGCTCTTTCAAAGACTGGAAAAAGTAACAGCAAATCAGCTGATTTATTTTTTAGCAAATTCAACGTACTTATTAAATGTCAGTTTGGATGTAGGTAAAATATATCCACTGAAGATGCCATTGTCACAATTATCAGAAATATATTTGAAAATCAGAATAATAATATAAAATGCAATTTTGTACCATTAGACTTATCGAAAGCATTTGATTGTAGTGAACATGTGAACGTGTTACTCTTATAACTAACTGCGGTCTAAGTAAACAAATATTATATGTGTGTGTGTGTGTGTGTGTGTGTGTGTAAGTAACACAAGAAATAATTACTGTCATTTGCTGTACATAATTTTCAGCTTTATAACACTAAACCATCAGCAGCAGGCTGTCTTTTCTATAGCAAATTGCCCAACAACATGAAACAAATGGGTAACAACCAGTTTAAAAATGAATTGAAGGACTTCTGGTGATATTTGTGGGCCGTCTCTTGGAAAAGAGTTGGCAAATACATTGTCACAGAGAGATTGTTTCTTGGAAAGCAACTGATTGTGAAACACAATTTCCACGGATATGGAAACTGAAAGTTGAAAACGCTTAGAAAACCAAAATTAATACATGGTTCCTGTGACAACACAACAGAGCAGAGGAACCGTAAGACATGGTGACTAATATCCGGGTCACATGGCAGTTATAAAATGGGTTTATTGCTGAATTTGAGAGAGTAGAGACCAATCTGAAATTCAAACAGCAGTGAGATATTCTTCAGGCAGCGTTCATCAGACAGATATTGTTCAGAAGGTGTTCAATGTGTGAGCTGTTATAATTGACTGTAATTATAAAGATGTGCCACTTAACCCAATCATCAAATCCAGAACCCAATATTATTATTAGTCATCCTAACCCCATACACATGACAAGTTGCTGTCAGAAAGTGGTTGCAACCTTAAATTCTTGACATTTTGGTGTCAGAATTGGTTGTACTTGGTCGATTAGACTGAATTATTGGCTTTAGGATCACATGTATTTGTCATTACAGAAATGGAAATGGATCACATGGACCTCCTGAAAGCCATTAAAGAAATTATAGAAACAAGGCTAGAGTGTAGCCACTGAACTGAAAGCCAACCAGGCAAAGACGGACACCTATAGGGAAGCTGACTGAGAAGAAAAGAAGGCTGAAGTAAACCAAATCGGGAAGAAATGCTTCTAAAAAGGATGCCAATATGAAAGCTAGTCAAGAGGAAATGGAAGCCCAGATGGCTTCCCTCACCTCCTGGATGGATGCCCAGCATGAAAGGATGAAGGCTGGAGCCCATGGATTCAGATGCAAATCCAGAGGAAATGCAGTCTGAGGCAGGGCATCAGCAGGTCCCTAATGAACATGCTGCAGTGAAAACTGGCAGAGTGCCGAATAAGCAGTGTAAGTGGTGGAATCTAGCCAAAGGATGGGTCCTGAAGGAAATTGGCCTCCGCCCTCAGAGGGACGACCCTCTGTGCAAAAGTGACACGGCACAGAGGATATGGGCTTCAGGGACAAGGCAAGGACAAGGTTGCACCCAGAACTTTGAAAACACGGACGTTTGGAAGGAGGCATCAGCTGAAACCAGAATGCAACAATGGCATAAAGAACCAAGGCCTGAGACAGGAGCTGTGAAACAAGGGGGAATTCACCAAGATCATGAGGAAGTCCACTGGACTGGAGATAACAGAGCGAATTGCCAGATCTCCTCTTGGGTTGTGGCCAATCAAGGATTGGACCTTGTCGAGGGGTTGGCCCCCTCCAAAACAGAAGAACATAATAGCACTGGTAGCATAAGATGTGCTGGAAATGTGGAAGCACCGGCCACTCGGGATAGTTTTGTCCCCACCATTGGGAGAAGAAAGAAACACTTCGGATAATGGTGATGCACTGGGATTGACTGGAACCTCAGAAGGGAATCACTCAGGATGAGTGGCCTTAAGGAGGGAACGGTGGTAGCATTTGGGGAGTGATCACCACAGGGAAGACCAAGCCACAAGAAGATTTCACGAGCAGAAACCTTGGAAAGAAAGCAGCAGTAATACACCAAGAGGCTATTCTGGACGTACAGCCTTAAGGAGGGAGCAATGTGACATGGGCCGTCTCTAGGAAATGAATTGGCAAATACGTTGCCATAGAGAGATTGTTTCTTGGAAACTGATTAAGAAACATGGTTTTCAGGCATATTGAAGCTGAAAGTTGAAAACTCTTAGAGAACCAAGCTGTTGCTTGGGAATTAATACATGATTTCCATGTTAACTCACAAAACAGAGGAACTGTAAGACATGGTGACCTCTATACGAACCTCATTGCAGTTATAAAAGAGTAGATTTATGAATTTGAGAGAGTACAGACCAGTCCGAGATTCAGAGAGCATTCAGAGATTCTTCAGGCAGCATTCATCACAGATATCGTTCGGAAGGAATTAGTTGACTGTAACTGCAAAGAAGTGCCAATAAACCCAATCATCAAATCCAGAACCCATTATTATTAGTCACTCCAAATCTGTGCATGTGACGTTGTTAAGGGGTGCTATTATTCAGTAGAAGAATTCTGTAATATTGGCTACTGATAAGCAGATATATAAAATAAGCTGTATTGTTAATAAGTTTATATCATAATAATTAATGTAATTCTATAATAATATAGATGGTCATATCCTGTGTCAATGTATATTGATCTACAGGATGAAATATAAATGAATGATTGAATGAATATGTAGTAAAGCAAGTGCCACGTAACTTCGAACAAGACCAAGAGTAACCTTCAATGCGCGGAAGAAAAATTTCAGACGAGGTGGAGGGTGTGAGAAGTGACAGGCGGCCAGTGGAAGAACGAGTGTTAAGAAACTCCTCCCACCACAAGCTATGCGTGGGATTTGACTAGGAATGTGGGACCTTGTTCGAAGTTAGGAGACGCTGTCTATAACTCATACTGTAGAGGAAATATTGGTATGGTGCTTAGAGAAGTGAGTTATGCAGATCTGCACCAGCCATACTACTGGATATTTTCATCTGCAAAAGGAATGTTTTATTACTGTTAATGGAATTTGCCAAGTTCAAAAGTTTTGCACTAGCTCATTGCAAAGCATGTTGAGCTCGATTTTGTTATTATCTGGTCTACATGACTTTTTCCAGTTTACCTTTTCAATTTTGAGAAGAAAGAAACTTGCTAGTTTTAGTTTCCTGTACTGTTTGATTGAAGTAACATATATTCACATCACTTATTGGTTATAAATTTTATTTTTTTTAAACAAGTGTACTTTTTATAAACTGCTTGTGCTTGAAAGAAAAGATATAATTTGATAATTTCACAAACCTGTTCTTCAGGTTCATAGGTTAATATGCTAGATCATCAGCAAGAAGACTATCTGCTGTTTTACAGATACACCCATTTCATTTAACATGCATTTATCTCACATTAGAGATAACATCCCACAGGGTAGTTAAATGGTTAATATCAAAATCTGACCACTAATTTCGTTCCCATTATTTGTTTCCTTAAAACCTTGCAACATGTCACTAGTATGTACCAAAGAAACAGTGTAGTATAAGAGGTGCAGTCAAAATGTTCCCGGAATGGTGGTATAGCATTTTAATGGTAGGACATGTGGCAACGCTTACCTACTCACCTTCAAAGTAGGATCCTTGCGCTCACACGCACACTTGCTCCATCAATCCTGCCATTGTTGGAAGCAGTGGTGGAAGGCTTCTTTTGGAATCTTCCAGAGCTCAGCCATCGCATTCGATTTGATGCCCTCCATGGTTGTGAAATGTGTCCCCTTGAGGCCCATTTTCAGAGTATGGAACACCCAAAAGTCACATGAAGCGAGATCCGGAGAGTACAGTAGTTGAGTGATGGCAGGAATGTTTTTCTCAGCGAGGAATTGCTGCACAACAAGCGACGTGTGGCTAGGTGCGTTATCATGATGCAGAAACCACTGTCCCTGCCACTTGTCTTGTTACTTCCTCCGAACTGCATCGCACAACCTCTGAAAACTTGCACGTAGAAATGGTCAGTAACAGTTGGTCCGGGCGGTATGAAATCATCGTGCACCAAACCGTCAACGTCAAAGAATGCAATGAGCATCACTTTGTCTCTGAATCTGATGAGGTGTGATTTTTTTTGGCCTGGGAGGTAACGCTGTGTGCCACTCCGATGACTGCATTTTCGTCTAGGGTCGTAGGTGAACACCAATGACTCATCATCAGTGAAGATCTTTTTGAGAAATGTCGGGTCCTGCGTACTTTTGTCAAACAGATCACCAGCGACCATCATGCAACATTCCATCTGATCCGTGGTCAGCTGCCTCAGAACAAACTTCGCAGTAACGCACCTCATCTGCAAATCATCGGACAAAATGGCATGAATGGATCCGTGAGATATACCAACTTCTTGCTCCAACTCTGTTATGGTCATTCTTCGATCACATCAAATCAGTAGTCACACTTTTCCAATCATTTCTTCAGTTTTGAATGTTGAGGTCTCCTGCTGCAGTGGTCATCCTCTAACGTCTCCTGCCCATTCTTAAACCGGGAAAACCAGTCGTAAACTGCGGATTTCTTTAGTGCAGTATCACCGTAAACTTGCTGCAGGGCCGATTGCATCTCTGAAGCAGATTTTCCCAATTTGCACATGAACTTGATGTTCGCACACTGTTCGAACTGTGATATTGTGCCGAATGACCAACACTCATGTTTAATTCAAATGGAACAGTAACGACACTTCACACTGAAACCTGTCCATGCCTGTTGTGCCTGCGAGCAGACATGCTTAGCTCCCCACGACAACAGTATGTGCGCTATCTTATTGCTTGTTCTCTGACTGCAAGGGAATTCCGGGAACTTTTTGACTGACCTACGTGTATTCAAGAAAAAATTCACAGCTTGTGATTGTGTACTTTCACAATTTAGTAAGTGGTATATTTATTGTATACTTTGTTCATCACAGAAATGAGGGTATGTTGCAGAGGGGAACACTAGTTTTGATGACATGGTTGGAAAATCAATATTACCAGAGTACTAATATTAATACTTCTCTTTCTCATTAAAGCATGAGTTTCCAAACTTCCAAGTCGATGTGTATGCATTGGTTCTGGAAAATGATGGCTCAGCTCTTGCTGCTGCTATTACCTGTGCTGCATTAGCACTAGCAGATGCCAGTGTTCCAATGTATGATCTTGTGGTAGCAGCAACCTTGGTATGTATATTACTCATCATCGGGTTACTCTTCATGTGTTGAAAGGAGTGTTCTCAGTAATCCTATATTGTGTGTGTGCAAATGTGTGCATCACATATATACAAGCTGCATTTTGAACGATTCCTTCCTCATAACATGATAAAATGATTCTGTGAAGAGTCTGTAAGACGATTCCAGTCTTCTGGACTATAATGCCATACAGTCTGTTGAAAGTCAGCTGATATTTCAAAGGAACGTTACCATCTTCAGGATTGAAGAGTAACCCAAGTAAGAAAGTAGCATGAAGCAGAGAACAGGCTGCCCAAAGATTAATAACCACTGTTGTGAGAACCACTAAACCTACATAAGAGCCTGTAAACTTAAAAAATTATATTTTGGATTCTTTTATATTTTTAGTGGAGAAGCACAAATTTGCACAGAATCACTATAGGAAATATTCACAAGACAGTTGTAACTATGAAATCGGTTACATTTACCACTTTATCATCACATTTTATCATAATAATTATCTTTGATGACTGTCATTTAATTTCTGTTTTCATAAACAACAAATTTTTTAATCAGAGTCACATATATCTTTAAACTAACAATTCATGTAGATATGAAATATCTAGTAAAAGGTACCTTGATTGGTCTTAATTATGGAATGTAAAACTAACAATTCATGTAGATATTAATTAATTACAGAATGTGTAAGACACACATGCAATTCATTACCTACAGGAACTTTCATAAATAGAGTTAAATGGTCAATCCTAAAACTCTTGGTACAGGAATTTCAGGTCATCTTCCCTTTTAACTAGATTTTATAAAGATATTGAAGAAAGTTGTGTACAGTGAAATATTGCACCTGTAGCATATCCATTAACCATTTTGGTATTTCCAGAAATTTTCTCTGATTCACTCTTTTTTTCTACATGGTATGTCTAGGAAAATTTTCAGGCTTAGCAGTGCTTGTTACATCTGAAAATTTCTCTAGGGTTGCATGACTGCTTTTGTATATAGTCTTTATGTTTCTCAGAATATGGTGGCACCATGTAGAATTGTTTGTCATGGCTTTCTGGTTACAATATTGGAGTACATTATACAGAATTTTAAGTCAACAGCCCTTCACCGCCTTGGCAGTATCGTCATATGTCGCTCCAGCTAGGGCACTGTGTTAGATCTGCTGAATGGCTAGTAGATGTGTGTGGCCTTTCCCCCCCGGCTTCCCAACCATTGTGATCAGCTACGGCCTGAGACTGTTGATTGAACACTGTCCAGGATGTGAATCCATCAAACTTTGGCGACTGCATGACAGCACTAACCTGTGCATTCCCGCTACTTCCAGGTCTCTTTTGGGGTTCTAATGCCACCAGCAGCATCATAAACTCTCACATCTGCATCTTGTCATGTTAATTGCAGCTGACTAGTAAACTAGTGTTCTTTCTGTGACGGTGGTTCCAGGTGTTCTGAATTGCTTGGTGTACATCATTGTGAAGCAAGTTACTGTTACACCATTTGGAAGAAAATAGACACAAATCACTCCTGAATCCCAAAACACACTTGCCATGATCTTGCCAGCTGACAGCTGGGTCTTAAATTTTTTTGGTGATGGACATCCCTTGTGACACTATTCCATGTTGGACTGCATTCACTCTGGGATGAAGTAGTGCTCCCACATCTCTTTACAGGTCACTATTCACTCTAGGAATGTTTCTCCTAATCGAAACTGGTGCGGATGTTTGACAGGCAGCAACATGATGTGCCTTCTGGCCGAACATTATCTTTGGGACCCACTGGACAAACTTTGTAGAACAATAAATGTTCAGTGGATAATTATTTTAACAACCTTTTTATTATATCCGTCACAACACAAGTAATGTCAAGATCAGACCATTTTCGGCCCTGCTACATGTTTTGGCTATTGATAGCCATCATCAGGCAAACACATGATTTATACACATATACACACTACTGAACCACAGCACCAACAAGATTGGAGACAATATTATTAAAATATATAAAAACATTTGATGTAAAAAATACAAAAATCAAGTTATATAAAACAGAAGTATGATATAAAATAAGAATAAAATTAGTTTGATGTTTTTACATCAACATGTCAGTCATTGGTTTGTGATTTGTTTTTTGTTTTGTTCCCACGGACAAGTTGGAATATTCATACTTATGCATATATAAAATTGTGTATGAGGCTCGTAATGTAGATGTAGTAAAGTAAATTATAATATTAGTCAGTGCCTCATGTCACAAAGCATTGTCCATACTGTAGGGAATGTAAACAACCTCCAGTTCATATGGCACTGTTTGATGCTGTATGGCTCACTTTATTTTATGAGCCCACTGTTGTGTCTGGTTTGGGGATCTGACCTAGCCATCCTTGTGGCAGTCAGTTCCAACAAACCTTTGCTGAAATTATTGTGGAATTTCCCTCCATGGAGTAGCTGCCTCCAGACCATTCATATGGTCAGTTTTTTTTAATACTATCTTGAGGGAATAAGTTCTTAGACAACCCTAACTTCAATTCACAGTATTTACAGTTTCAATGTTTCTTACTGCATTCTGCTATATGTTTTTCACTAATTAGGTCCCCACTAATAATCATATTGTAACCCTTTCTTACAGTGATTGCATCCTCCCTGCACTGACTCCTCAGTTGGAGCATCGCTTACTTGCGACAATACACAGTGCCATCAGAATCACACTGAGGTGTCTAGCATCCATGTCTGCAGCTCAGTGGATGGATCTGGGTCGTGTCCCTCTGGTCATCCCTCTGTGGTGATGTTACCTTGTCTCAGCCACTGGCCAGATCGATATTACTCTAGCTTAACCTTTTGACGTGGTCATTTAAATTCCGCGGCCGCGGCTCCTGCGGTAATATATTCAGCCGGCCATTTAAATTTTGCTCGAAAATTATTTATTCATCATTGTTCTTAAATTCTATGAGATAGGAACATGAAACTTTCACTAAAATGATCTTAAAAGGTGGTTTTATAACCTTACCTTATAATATGAACCCCCTTTATATCTTCAATGGAAGCATGTTATTTAGTATTTGAGCAGAGAATGGTACGCCTTGAAGGATGAAACTTTCACTAAAATGATCTTAAAAGTTGGTTTTATAACCTTGCCTTATAATATGAGCACCCGGTATCTCGGCTATGTAAGCAGGTGACGCCTTGAAGCATTAGTCTAAACACAGAGCTGGCTCTCGAAACGACCACCAAGGTCAGTACGATAAAATGGCGTCAACTGGAGCGATAATGAGTACTTTTCCCTCCCCCACACACATCCGTATCGTCTCAGGGGGTGACCACAGTGTTCTGCCTTAAATTGTGGCGTATTTCTAAGAAATGGGTGCTATGTACTGTGCGAAAGCAATCGATTTTACGAGAATAACATTTTGGACAACCCTCTTCTAAGAATTCCAATGGAATGTGTTTGTGTGGCCAGCTCAGGGCAATATGATATTATATACAACAGCACACATCACCTCTCTGGTGTTTATTACTTCACAAGCAAAGCAAATACGCCATTGAGTGACGAAACCGCTACAAGAAGCAACACGAATTTGCTGCAAGACAGGCATATGTAACGATGACTTATCTCAGCTAAACTCGTTGGCTTAGTATACTCTGTTCTTGTGACAACAGGCCAGCGAAAAATCTAACAATCTACAGCAAAACCATCAATTATTATGGGCGTTATAACATAGGTGTGCAGCTGGACGAACCATACACGACGAACCCCCCCAGACGATTTAAATCCCTGACGAAACAGACACGATGAACCACGGCAACGGGTTAAAGGCCAGAATCAGACTGTCCAATCAGAACCTCCCCAAAGAATTCTCCTAATTAATTACTACTGGCAGTTGCTGAGTCAATGCTATTTTCCACATACAAGCCTGTGCAGGCGGTTAGTCCACAGCTTCAATGTTCCTGAAATGTGCAAATTTTGGTTTCTAAATATATGAAAGGCCAGTCATTGTAGCTGAGCGGTCTAAGGCATGTACTGTCTTCTCTCGCTTGGAAACCGGGATTGTGGGTTCAAATCCCACTCAGGGCATGGACGTTTAGTTTGTGTGTTTGCGTTTTTCTGTATTTGTGTACAGGTAGAGGCCTTGCGACGAGCTGATCACCTGCCCAAGGAGTCCTACCGAATGTGTAAGATCTAGAAAACCGAAGTGAACGGAGAAGTTCATGGAGGTACGCCTAGGCCCACTGGGGCTGTAGTGCCAAGGGGAAAAAAAATGTATGAAAGAAAGAACACGGAAAAGAAGAAAATGGTTAGATAATAACACTCTCATTTTCGTGTTTCTCAAAATAAACTCTTCATTGCGGCAAATGTTCACATCATGTACATCTGTTGGCTGAATATGAGCATGTGGTAGGTTGAGATTTCTTTACAACTTTCAGGACTTATTACTAGATATATCAGTAATAGACACTTGCATATGACAGTCTCTTCCCCATACTGTGCATTTAACTTACGCAGATTTTTGCTGATTTCACTTCCTCTTTCACTAGAAATTTGATAGTATGTTGCTGTTCTAAGGTCCAATGCCATCTTGTACCAGGTGTGATGCACAGAAGTGGGATGCTTGGCCACCTGCCAGGGAGTGAGTGCAGTTTTACCATCAAATGCCCATAAAAGAGTTTTATTTTTTGGTGCATAAATTAAATTCAGGTTACCCTTGAACGACCCTCGCAGTTTCTTTAAATGTTCAAAAATCGCTCAACTTGATCCATCTTCAATCCAACTTATGACACGAGTTGTATCATTTTTCTTGTTTTGGAGCCGTTATTTTCAGTAACACCTGTAATCCTTATGTTGGCTTCTTTTTTAACACTACTCTTTCACTGATAGCCGCTGCATTGTTCTCTTCTTGCATTCGATAACTTGCATCTGAAAGTATGCACCGTTTCACCATACACATACATTTCACGTCACTTCTAGCAGACCGATTCAATTCGCAGAATCCACACTCTTTTAACTGACTGAAGTCATTCTTGAACCTTTGTGTAAGATCTCAGCCATCCTTGGTCTTCTCTTGGACCCAGAACCGTCTGAAAGTGGGAAGGCCATGGTGCTTCTCGAAAGAGCAGTGTGCACAAAACACTTCCACCTCCTGCTCACATGACAGTTTGTTTGTGTTTTACCTGTATACCAGATTTTACATTCCTAGCTCCAGTGGTTATTAATTTATACCATCAAGCATACAAATGCAGATTTTGTGTGGCTATGAAGTTGTTTTCATTCTATAAATACTACTTTAACAGAAGTTGCATTCTGCAAAATCTATCCATCCTTATTGAATGACACTAGTATTGCCCCCTTTCCATATGTCTATATGACTGCCATTCTGGTATTATCGATCGCAGGACACTAAAAAGTAGAAATGAGTAAAAGGTGCATGTTTGGTTCAGAAGTTATTAAAGGAAAAGCCACATGTAAGCACATGCATGGTATTGCCATAAACCTAATTTTCCTTACAAGATGAAAATGGACTAAAAATAAATTGCAGTAAATTATTGTCTGTTTCAGTAAAGTACAGTTCAGCACTAGCTGATTAAGATTTTAAATAAATTAATAAATATTTTAGATAAAACCACTTATTGTACTTTTATAATTTCAGGGGGTTCATGGTGATAAAAAATTCATGGACCCAACTGTAGAGGAAGAATCCCTTTGTAACATTCTACCCCCTGATGGAAGATCACGTAACCATGGTATAATCACTGCTGCCTTCTCGCCAGCCCATCAGCAGATGTCTGAATTTGCACAGTCAGGGGCTATGGATATTGATTGTGCTACATCTTCCATTCAGCTTCTGAGAGAAGCATGTGAAAGTATATATCTTCTTTCACAGCAGTGCCTTCTGAAAGGTGTTACAAAAATGCTCAAGAAGAAACAAAAAGAAATAAAGTTAGACCTCAGTAGTGATCGAATTGCATGTTGAATATTATAGTAAGAGCAAATATTTCAAATAGCTTTTAGCTTTAATAAATCTAATAATTGTAATGATTTATTGTGAACAACTTTAATAACTTATGTTACATTTTGCACCTAATGGATAAAAGAACTTGGAACTGCTGACTGTTGTCTGCATTAAGGAATACATATCATTTTTAGTGAATCCACTGCTGTAGAACAGTGTTTGCAACACACAGTAGAAGATGTTTATGCAGTGGGGTGCTTGTCATGTCCAACCAATTTGCCCATGCAGGTCCTATGATGAGAATCCAATCTCCTGATGTCACTGTCTTACATACTGCATGTAACAATGCTGGTGATAGGTATGGAAGTGAATCTTGCAAGTTGATGAATATCATGAATTATTAATGCTGTCATTAATATCAATTATCAAGATTAATGAATGTTTCATAGTGACATAATTTTAATGTAATATATTCAGTTTCACATTTCAGATGTGTACAAACAATCTGGATAATTTTAAAAATTTCACCAGTAGGTTTACATATTGTCATATTTGTGACTAGACACAGACTTTGGATTGATAATTGGATTTATTGGAAGAGTATAACTCATAGCTACATATGATTCTAACAGTATCACCAGTTTAAACAATATAAATCACTACAATTACAGTGAACACAAAGTCTCCTTATTTTTCTGTCATCACTAATCAGTGCTAGGCAGCGGCTGCTCACAGTGGAGATTCCTCATGGTGAACCTCAAACTGCCACTGTTCACTCGCAACTCACGGCTCTCTTGACTGACTCACGGCTAACTTGCTGCTGGCCCTAGCCAGCACAATTATTCTCAAGAGTCTCACAGGACTTTTGACAATATTTTAACATCTGACAGCTCTGGGAGCCTTTGGAGTCCATCTCTTGATTGTCTGTCTGGTAATTGCTGCTGATCCTCGCCAGCGCAGTCATTCTTGGATCCAAGTCCCGCAAGACTCATGACTATATTATCAGGTCATAGCTGTGTTATGACCAATGGTCAGGTGGCCACTCCTAGTGTCAAGCTCCATCTGGGGCCCAAGACCAGATTTTTGTTATTGTCATTTGTGATTTTGTCAGTGTGGGGCACCCTCCCTGACGGGAGGACAGGTCTGTCATTTACCACAGTTGAAATCAGTATGTCATCTATATTTACAATTTAATATGTCAGCATTCTACATAGTCATTTGTCAAGAGTTTGGCACCTTGTGGATACCTGCTTCTTATAGTTGTACTTGCCACTCTGTTATATATGTATGTACAATGCATACAGGGCCTCTGTCAGTCTAGGGTTGGCATAGCAGATCATACCCTAACTCATGTAGCTTATGTTGTAACGGCTGCCTACTCACTTTAACCTTTATCGGACGAACGTCATCATATGATGTCGTTAAAAGTTAGGGCAGCTGGCCGAACGTCATCATATGATGTCGCGGATTCCACACGTGTAAGGTTTTTTTTAATATTATATTAAAAATATAAATTGTTGTTCTATTTACATGATTTTTGGTCACCACCTTTATAAGGAGACAGCCTTCCTTCCTGAATGATGTAATGTAATCTAGCGACGTCATATGACGTTAAAAATAAGGACAAATTGAAGAACGACATCATATGATGTCGCGCATTCCACGCGTGTAAAGATTTTTTTTTTAATTAAATTTAAAATATAAATTGTTATTCTATTTACATAATTTTTGGTCACAACCTTTATAAGGTGACAGCCTTCCCTCCTGCATGATCTAATGTAATCTACCGACGTCATATGGCCGAACGACCTCGTATGACTTCGCGCATTGCACACGTGTAAAGATTTTTTAAAATTAAATTTTTGCTCTACTTACGTGATATATGTTCACCATCTTCATGAGGAAACAGCCTTCCCTCCTGCGTCATCTATGGTAATGTGGCCTTCGTATGGTACTGCCGAAAACATTCCGAAATGCAGAGTCCGACGTCGCAGCTCACGCACTTCGTACGAACGCTAGACCGCTTCCCACGCGAAAAGCACACATGACACCTCAGTTGCAATTTAGAGGAAGCAGGCCAGTGATGTCGAGCTGCAGTGATATTTATCCCCGCAGCTACACCGGAATAATTATGAACACCCCTCCAGCCACACTGGTCTGGCGGTCCCCAAGTTGCCAACGAAGGTGATGACCCTTCGTCCGCGGAATTCAGAACTCCAACTTTCCTCCTGGCCGTTTCAGAATCGGTTCAATAGCAGTCCGAATCTATGTAATTGAACAGCTCTTTCTCAATTTCAGCATCAGAACTCCAACTTTCCTCCTGGCCGTTTCAGAATCGGTTCAATAGCAGTCCGAATCTATGTAATTGAACAGCTCTTTCTCAATTTCAGCATCAGAACTCCAACTTTCCTCCTGGCCGTTTCAGAATCGGTTGAATAGCAGTCCGAATCTGTGTCATTGAACAGCTGTTACTCAATTTCAGCATTTTCCATACGACGTCGTGTATACGGCTCTCTAGCAGTGAATCTCTGTGCTTAGACCACGATAAGAGCTATAAATCTTAACCTCAAGCCCACACATACAAAAATCTCATTCACGACTTGGCTGAACCCAAGTTCTACTTCATGATGTCATGTGTGGCTAAACTTATATTGCGATGTTTCAAAATCGTTACAAACACAATGGTTTGACTGCAATGAATGAACGAATGACTGATCTGGCAACACCATATTCCGAGAATGAACTCCCGTATCTTTCTAAAACATTACACAGTGAGTGATATCAGATGCATACAGTCGTGCATACCGAAATGTCCCGTACGATAAATAAGCGTCAACAAGAGACATCATTGAATGTGAAGTCGCCCCAAGGACTTACACTGCTAAAACGCATGGTGCAGAAAATATATTACACTGCTAGAACGCATGGTGCAGGAAATGTATGAATTTCGGGAAATTTTTTGGGGGGGAATCAGTGTAAAAAATTTTTACAGATATTAAAATCTGTAAATTAGAATATCTGATTCTATATTCTTTCTACATTAAAGGAGCGTTCATTTCGTTCGTTTATCATAAAAAAATGTAGAAATCACACCATTTTTAGAAACATGCTTACAATTTCATTGCCCTAGAAGGGCGGGCATTTAAATAAACTCCGTCCAGCTGCCCCTACCAGAAATTAAATGGCCCGTCCGATAAAGGTTAACTGTCATACTTTTGACCACTGCCAAGCTTAAGCCCCTTATATTTTCTGTGTCAGGCTTGTGTCAGTGTCACAAATGTTTGCATTTTTATGATTTTGTATGACCTCTGTTGCCTAATCAATTTTGTTATGTAATCACATATTCGAGGGGGACCCAAAAATAACTGGAAACGACCTGTGGCGCCTGCGTGCTTTGTAGTTACGAGTTGTGCTGTTAGGTGGTGTTAGCTGGGGGTCTCCCGCGACTGTTAGTGAGCTGGCGTCAGTCTGAGTTAAGTGGTTTGTCTGTGGTTCTCTGTTGTGTGCGTTCCTGTTTCAACCCTTTGGCGATTAGTGAGATGGCCGACCAGAAGGAACAAAGAGTGTGCGTGAAATTGATGAAGATCATCGAAAGACCATTAACCAACTTTCTGAGGAAACGAACATCTCATGGAGCACGGTCCAGCGAATTTTAACCGAAGGTTTGCACATGAGACGGGTGTCTGCAAAATTTGTTCCTCGCTTGCTCGGAGATGACCAAAGAGAAAACCGCGTGAATGTTTGCCGCGACTTGAAGAGTGAAGTTCAGTTTTCCCTAACAGAAAGCAAAATTTCACGCACACTCTTTGTTCCTTCTGGTCGGCCATCACACTAATCGCCAAAGGGTTGAAACAGGAACGCACACAACAGAGCACCACAGACAAACCACTTAACTCAGACTGACGCCAGCACACTAACAGTCGCGGGAGACTCCCAGCTAACACCACCTAGCAGCACAACTCATAACTACAAAGCATGCGCGCGCAACAGGTCGTTTCCGTTTATTTTTGGGTCCCCCTTCGTATATGGTACTTGGAAAGCCATGTGAAATTCGTGGACCAATTTACCTTGTTCTGCAAGCACTGCAATTTCAGAAGGTGGGTATCTGCCACAAACTTCCAGGCGGAGGAAGCGTAAGTCATTACTGATCTAATTAGTGCATTATGGAGGGTTAATTTAATGTTTGCGCTTAGATGCTTGCTTTTGAATATGGAGTACTTTCTAATAAATATTCTGAAGGGCTTGAATTCAATCATTTCTGTGTGCAGTCTTTGTGTAATAATCTTATAGAAGATTACGCCCATATGATTTACATGATTGGAGAAGGGATACTCCATCCCTTCAATCTAAGATGATCCTCAGGGGCCTGTCAGAGTCACGGTCGAAGTTGGTGTACGACTGGCAGTTTACTGCCAATCAGTTTGTCTTGGCACCGAGCCACTTGAGACTCATGAACTGAGATGTTTTTTTTTTTCAACTGAACTCTTGCAGTGATAGTCCTTATGTAAACATCCTCTGTGATGAGAGGATGGGTTTGTCTCTTATGAATAATCCTCACCTTTGTCAAGTCTACGTATCCCACATATTGCATGTTATTGAAAATTCTTCCCTTTGCACCACTATATGCAAGTCTTCTGTCAATCCAGGCCTTGTAAAGCAGACCATGCTGATTGTACATATCTTATGCTACAATGGCAGCTTTGTCACTTGAACGGTTGTAAGCTTGATCGCCAGCAAGTTCAAGCCTCTTATATTTTCTGTGTCAGGCATCACCTTTTTCGATGTCACGAACATTTGCATTTTCAAGATTTTGTATACCCTCTGCTTGTTGCCCTCACAATTTCGTTATATAATAATAAACATACAGTACTTGGAAAGCTGTGTGGAACTCACAGATCTGTGTTCTCCTTGTAAATTTAGCAGTTGTGCAGGGAACCTTGTTTTGCAAGCACTGGAATTACAGAAGTTGGTTATCTGTTGCAAATTCTCGGATGGGGCAAGTGTAAGTCATTACTAATCCGATAGTGCCTTATGGAAGGTTTTTTTAATACTGGCGCTTAAATGTTATTTTTTTAATATGGAGTACTTTCTAATAAATGTTAAACAGCCTTGGCTTCAGTCGTTTCTGTGTGCAATCTCCATGTATTTCTCTTATTGAAGATTACACCGAGATATTTTACATGATTAATGAAGGGGATATTTCATTCATTCACTGTAAGATGAGCCCCAGGGGATCTAAGTCTGTGAAAATGTAGATGACATGAATCTTCATCGATTCTTAAGTTCCAGCGCTCACGCCACATCTCAGTGGGACTGAGACCTTACAGCAGCTTTCTGAGAACATAACCCATATTTGGTCTATTACATATATACAGGTGTCATCAGCAAAGAAATCTAGATAGACACTAGGTGTTGTGGGCATATCATTTATATATTGTCACATGTATGGATGACTTATAAGACTTCGGATTGGATTTATTTCTCACTCCTTGAACAATCGTTTGTAATCTCATTAAATTAAAATAACAATAAATCTTCAACTGAACCCTTCTCTCATGAGTACCTAGGACTCACTTCATTCTGATGTAACTGGAGCCAGAGTCAGTCACGCTTATATATCCTCAAGTGGACTTCATAGAAAGCACATCCATTGCCTAGCAGTGGCGTCTACTATTGTTACGTATTATAGACTTTACCTAGCAACAGGCTGTTTATCAAGAATCTGTCTCCACAGGAACACATTTATCGAGCTGTTTCCTAGCTGTGGATCTGTATGCCACAATATACAAGGACTGACAATAAAGTTCGCGAACTCACCACTGTCTGTTTCCTATGGCAGCAGTGGCCAGAAACCTCAGTATGGTTTGATGTTGGCATATCAGCGTTTCACAGCTGTATCGTTGTCGATCTTTGGCAGTCTCCTTCTGAGTGGCATCTATTATTGTCTGAGCATGTTTTGGTTTGCTGTCATGAGAATGTCAGAATGAACATTAAATTTCTTGTTAAACATGGCAAGAGTAGAAGCGAAATCAGAGAGATGGTCCCATAGGACATGCTTATACGTCACTGTGAGGAAGTTTTTAGCTAGTAAACAAATAACTGTGCTGGAACACCCTCCCTATTCACCAGAGCTATCCCCCCAGTGACCTTTTTCTATTCCCGAAGATAAAGGAAATATTGAAAGGAAGACATTTTGAAAGCATTGATTACATCAGGAGTAATACAACAGCAGCTCTTAAGACCATTCCACAAAAACAGTTCCAAAATTGTTTTGAAGGGTGGACTAGGCACTGGCATTGGTGCATAGCTCCCCAAGGGGAGCACTTTGAAGGCAACCCCATTGATATTCAGAAATGAGGTGTGTAGTACTTTCACCACGACGATTTCAGAGAACTTTATTGTCAGACCATGCATACTGTATAATGTGGGACAGGACGATCATTGTGACATTCTTGCTTTTATATCCTTGGCCTAGACATTTTACCTTTGACCGAAACTCTGAATTTTCTATGAGACAGAAATTACCTAATAAGTTTGATTAGACTGATCAGAAATTTTAAGTTAGATAATTTATGTAGCAAGCCAGGATGTCGTGTATCAAAGGCTTTATCAGTATTGTTGTATATGGTGACACCTGATATAGATTATTGTATAAGGCATGGTGATGCTTACTATAAACTATGGTATATGTTAATACCCATGTGGTATATGGGGATATATAGTATGAAATGAATTGTTTTATTGATATAATATGTTATATTGTAATATTAGAAATAGACTGTACCTCATGTATACACAGTATGAGGAATCGAGTGTACCAACAGGAAATATTAAGGGATTAACTTCGGGAAGGATCAAAAGATTAGAACTTTGTCCTTCACCGATGCTGTCACGAGAACGATGCTTGTTTCTCACTAAGAATAGAACAGCTGTGGACCCTCCGAAAACTCAAGAGGGTGATGATGCAATGAATGACGTTAGTCAGATTACTTCAGAAGGGTAACGCCCTAACTGGACCAGATATATACCACACGGGACGTAAATAAAGGTGCTTTTTGATATCGACACTGCCTGAGCTATCCATTAAGTGGAGCAGGTGCTGTCAGATACCAGGAGTCGGCCACTGCCCATTGCTGAGGCAGACCACTGATTTCTTACCAACAGGTTCCTCTCTCTGATTTTGTACAGTATCAATAAATGTATTTAACATCAAGTTGCAGTACTCTCACACCCCGCACTGACTCCCAAGGGAACCGCTCGCCCTGCCAACCTGCAATCTATCCCATCCCCGGGATACAACATTGGTGTCAGGCCTGTGTGGTAGCTGCATCCAGAGACTGAACCCAGTACGTCGCCAAGGGAGAAAGAGGTATACCAGGTGGGATATCATCTTTCAGAAGACGTCAAGTGAACGGTAAGAAAATTCCAGTGGTACTACAACTCATTGACTGAGTGAAGGCTCATTAACTGGGCAGCCGAAGAGATATTCAGCAGAAGGAAGAAATTAATTATTGTTCGAGTATAGAGCCAGCCAATAGTGGCGAGAAGAATATTTAGAATTCAAGTCCTGAGAGTTGGACTGAAAATATAAAAGTGGAATAAGCGACCAACCCGTCTAAAAGTGGCGACCCTTCCATAAATAACTTAACTAATAAGAACTGAATTTTACAGCTGAAAAGGAAAGGCCAGCGGAGAACAAGTTAACATCCCGATCCAGCGAACGAGAAAGTAGGTCAACAACCTCCAGCCGTTGAGTTATACTGCAGAGGAACCCCAACAGGGTGATCTGCACGCCAGCGCTACGGAAGACCGGCCGCAAAATTCACCACCCCTACACGTCATTGAGAAGGCAACAGAAACGGTGAGTCTTTGCTAAATGTTTATGAGTGCCAGGTCTAACAAAGTGAATACACAAGTTGTGGAAGCAGATAGTTCAGGTAGCATGGCTGAAGAGTACATTAGTGTGAGCGAGGCGCTAAAATTAGTGACGCCATTCAGTGGTAATAAAAGGAAGGTACTCACGTTCATCTCCAATGTGAATACCGCATTTGAAGTTATAAATCCCAACCACCAGGATAGATTATACAAATTTGTATTAACTAGAATCAGTGGGGAGCCGAGAACAGCAATAGCACATCGACATTTAGAGAGCTGGGAGGAATTACGGGAATTTCTGAGGAATACCTACATAGAGAAACGTACACTAGATTTCCATGCGAATCAATTGTTCAAAGCTTGGCAGGGGAAATCTGATAGTATATCGGAATGGATACAGAAAATCCAAACCTTAGGTTCAAAATTCCGAGAGGCTGCGCTTACTGATTGCATAGACGAAGAGAGGGCAGGTATTTTAACCTTGTCGGATTGCTTGCGAAATATTTGCTTTATGCAAGGGTTATATTCCAATAGGATACAGACCATTGTCCGCAGCCAAAATCACGATGATTTCGATGAAATAGCAGAAACTGCTCTGGAAGAGGAAAGTGCCATTATTTGTAAACTAGAAAGATATAGAGGGCAAGATAGTGGCTCAATTCAGTGCACTATTTGCAAAAAGGTGGGCCATGTGAGTAGCAAGTGTTTTTCAAAAACAAAACGGGAAAATAGGGTAAGCCAATTTTCCGTCAAGAAAAACAGACGCGAGAAATAATATGCTTTGCCTGTGGGGAAAAGGGTCACTTTGCTAAAGACTGTAGAAATCAAGGAAGGAAAAGGTCAGGTCAGGAAGGCCAAGGATCAATGACTGCGGGAAACGGGGGCGGACTGTCAGCTCACAGTCGGCAGGCAGTCAGTGCTATTCAGTAGGCTGTATCAGTGAAAATAGGAAAGAATACATAGAGCTAGAGGTCCGGGAAAGTAAGACAGGAAAATTGAAGTTCTTACTGGACACGGGGGCTGATATTTGCCTCGTAAAGAGTACAAGTTTGTTAGGGACTACTGAGTTCGATCCCCAACAAAAGGTGAGAGTCAAAAGTATAGAGGGCTCTATCATGGAAACACATGGTGTAGTGAGTATATGTATTCACGAAGGGGAAGTTAATATTCCGTTCGACTTCCATTTGGTTAATAAACAGGTGGAACTCGTTTATGATGAAATTGTTGGTAGAGACTTTCTGCAACATACTAGGGCCAAAGTATGTTACGATGGTAACACAATCACATTCAAAGCAGGGGATGCGGAATGGACTAAGAGAATCATGGGTAACGAAATAGTTCAGGGAACTATAACGAAGGAAAAGTTAACCCTAACCGGGAGATCAGAAGTAATAGTGAAGTTACCGGTAGAAAGCG